ATAAATGGAAAAAAATAATATTTTCTGATGAAAAGAAATATAATCTTAATGGTCCCAATGGCTATGAACACTATTGGTATGACTTGAGCAAGGATCCAAAAGAATGTTTCAGTCACAATCGAGAGGAGGATTAGTAATGGTTTGGAAAGCCTTCAGTCATGATGGAATGTGCTATTTACAGCAAATATCAGAACATATGGACTCTACACATTATCAAGTTATGCTATATGATCATTTAATACAGTTTTAACTTTTATTAGGTGGTGCTAACTGGATATTTCAGCAAGACAATGCTTCTAGACATGCATTTAAATTCACCCATGAATTATTTAAAAAAGAAAAAGTTAATGCTTTACTATAACTAAATCAAAGCCCTAACTTGAGCCACTTGGGAAATCTTTGGGTAATATTATGTTGCAAAAAATTTACACTAATAATGAATAGATTTCTTCAGCCCGTGAACTGGAAGTGACCCTAGTACAAGAATGGCACAATAATTTTGAAATTGAACTTAACCTTCTGATCATTTAAATGAAAAACAGAGTGTTTGAAGTTATTAGGAAAATAGAGTGGCCACGGCAGCCTAGTGGTCATGGCTTCGGATTCGTGGCCGACGGTTTTTGTTCAGTCGCGGGTTCGATCCTTGGCCGCTAAAGACCCGCCATGTAGCCGGGGCTGATACACGTTAAATCTGTCGGGGCCCAAAGTCCTCCCGTTTGCGTGGTGTGGATGTTAGGAGAGGGGGTTCCAGCACAGGTGTCGTCTTCGTCACTTGACCGTGGTTCAAAATTACGAGGTCCGTTGCCAATAGCCCTCGTGTTGTTTCTAGTGCGACGTTAATATAAACTAAACTAAAGGAAATTGGGAGGACCAATATTTTATCAATTTTTATACTTTTTTTTGCTCTTAGATAAGCGGCCATATAATCTGTTAACAGTGATTTTTCATTTATTTCTTATATTTTTGTTAATTTAATCGTTTCTTATATTATTCGAAGTTATTTAAACGTATTTATAATAAATATGTTGTAGTATCATATTTCATTTGCTTAAGTTGTATTTGTAAACTTTATTTCATAATTTTCAAATTTCAGGTAGTCTTATAATTTCTTAAAGGACTGTTTTGCAATTTTAATTGTTGTGTACGTACAATTATTTATTTCTGAGAGTATGATTTATTGAATGTGTTGTAGCCGAATAATTTGAGTCAAGGATACTCACAGAAATTTGACAAGTTAATTATTTAAAATTTTTTACAAATTTTTTGATGTAACGTTTTTTGTACTGTAGCAATATGAGACTATTTTTGACTACGAGGACGGCACCTGAGTTGGTAACTTACTTTCCTAGCTTTTACATCATTCTACATGAAGACTTTGAGGTTTAATTTTTGTTAATGTGCAGTAGTCCCAATTAATACGTCTGGTGGACCTTTTGAAATATTAGGACTTGAACATGTAAATCGACTTGAGCATCACTGAAGACTAACTCACGAACTAAATTTTTTTTTTCTGTTTTAAAATTTATGTTCCTCATGCTTAGAAATGAATGGAATCACTTAGAAGAATCTGTAAGGCTATGAACCAATATTTCTTAAATTAAATTATAATTATTCGTTAGAAAAATGGTCTGTTGAGGACATAATGCTTCTTTTTTTTTTGTAAAGCAATGAGAACTACAACTAATAAATGTCGCACAATACAATGAGTTTTTTAATAATTTTATATATATAATACAATGAATATTGAATTATAAAAGCATACATTACAGAGAACAATGCCCAGGTTCCTCGTTTTTTATGTCAAAAAGCGATGTTGCGTCTACTTTTTTTTGTTTCTCTAAATATAAACTTTGTCTAAAGGTGGGTTGGAATAATTTTTTTTGACATTCCTTATACAAGCAAACATTACAATTTCTCTAGTTTTGTGTCTTGTTTATTTATCCGCTGGCGCTTTTATATTGTTACGGTCGCTGTAGCCAAGTGGCCAGGGGACCGAACTCGTGGATGGCGTTGTTTCCCCGAGTCGTGGGTTCAAGACTTGATGACACTAAAAAACACTGTATAGTGGGGCTGATGCACGTTAAATGTATTGAAGCTCAAAGTTCTCCTTTTGGTATGATGTGGTTTCTAGCTCAGGTGTCATTCTCGTCACTTGACCGAGGCTCAAATTACGAGGTCCTTTGTCATTATCATTAGTTGTTTTTAAGTGTGAATTTAATAAACAAACAATAAATTTTACTTTAAGTTTTATTCTTGTTAGGAGACCTCTTAGGGTTTGCTTAGCTTCTCAAAATAATATTGGGTACCCGACTCTGAAGTACCTGAGTGATCTGCTCTTTTGCTTGAGGAGTTTACTGTCATTGAGAAGAGCGCATCATCTGTAAATAAAGATAATGTGCCCTCAGGATATCCTAACGATCTTTTTTAATTGCTTGTTATTATCATTAAGCTCTTCCCTTTTCTTTAAATTTTACATTTAAAGCTTAGTCTATATCATAAATACTCGGTTTTTTTTGTAAAATAATGAGTCTGGTGCAGCTTGACAAAATTAGGCTTCTGCGGCAATACAATCAACCAATTTAGAGATAAATAATTTTTTTTATTACATCATATCCCTTTTTATATGTCCGGAAATCAACCCTGCTTATATAAGTTTGACTGTCATTAAAATATTTCCTTTAGTACAAAATCAGAAATCCGCGAAGATAAGGAGTATTTTCATAATATGATACTCTTAAGAAAGCCTAATAACATCCTTTTCTCTTCATCTCAAAGTGGAGTGTACTAATTTACTGAAACTGCATAGAAGCGACAAAAAAAAAAAAAAAAAAAAAAAAAAAAAGGCTTTTCAGCGAGGATATGTACAATTCCTTATATATGTACAAAATGTACAATTTCTTATTTATTTATTTACTACGATATGTTTCCTTTCTCGATATATTTAGATTTTTAAGATTAATCTTTTTTTTTCAAAAAATTTTCTTCTCAAAATCAAATTTGAGAAGAAAGATTTTGAAAATTTTTGTACCGTAGAGGTAACACAAATATTTTTTTTAATTGCATTCAATTCAACGCCATTAGGTTTTACATAAGCAATTGTTATCCTTGCTTACCATAGATTTGACTTCGATTTTCTAATGAGTGAATAACATATTTTCATCAGCCTTTATAAAAAGCTTTCTAATTACATGAAAAGTTTAACGACAATACGTACGCTTACAGAAATTATCTCTCTAAGCTTATTATAGTATCAATAATATGCAGGTTTAGGCTCACCTCCTTTGCAATGCAGAATGTTTAAGCTGATTAACGGATTTGCATCGATTAACATGTCTTTCGCATTATCTATTAGTTAATACAACCATTTAGATTGCAGCTTTGGCAACTGTACTAAAATCCATCACATGTGCTACAATACTGACCACCAGAAGCATTTCAGAGAAACGACATATATTTATCGACAATGCAATCTAATTTGATGCTTAAGTATGATACTTATCGTATTATTAAAGAGTAAGAGCAGTTCAATTATAAAGTTATGATTAGAATTCAATGATAAAAGTGTTAAGTTTTGCGAAATTATTTTTAACCACTGAACATTTTGCTTCTTTCAAGAATTTGTGATATAAACCTTTTTTTCAGGTGAAAATAACTGAAGCTGAACACACACGCACAAACACACTAAAACAGCAGAAAAATGTAATAGTTACAAAATGAAAATACTTTCTTAGTTTTTTTTACAAAATATTGTAAAAAAAATTAGAAAAACATTTAAATTATTTTTGTATGTCTAAATACATAAACAAAAGAGGACTAGTGAAACATTGCAAAACAAAAAAAAATTAAGTTAGAAATATACTAAACCTGTAAGTGATGGCAAGAAATAAAAATAAACACATAAAAAGAACTAATCGAAATTTGAAAAATCTATGAAACTTAGAAAAAAAATCATAATGAAGAATAAGGAATCATCATGTGTGCGTGTGTGTAAGGGTGCATTTATAAAGTTATTTTTTACTCAGCAGTTTTAAAATTATATATTGCTATGGTATGGGACACAAACAACTCCACGTAGCCGCTGTAACCTGGGGATCATGGTCGTGAACCCGCAAAAAGTGTTGTTTCACCGAGTTCTGTTGCTACTGAAGACCCGTCGTATAGATTCACAGATGCACTTTATATCTATCGAGGCTCCAAGCCCTCCAAATGGTATAGTATGGATTTATGAAAGAGAAGGACCAACTCGTTACTTGAACTAGACTCAAAGTTAGGAGATTCGTTGCCATTAGCCTATAATTTCAGTATCTTAATTAATCTTATTGCTGAGCAAATGGCATGGTTAAGGTTGGAGATCTTGATTAAGAAAACCGCCTTGGTTGTGTTTAGATGCCCGTGAATCTTAATTGTCCTACTGTTGAAGTAAAATCTATTTGGCTGAGGTCCGTGTGTGAGAATCCTAATTTGTATCTCAAGCTTTAATTCTAAATTCTTACGGCTCTTAAAATTACTCAACAAACTTCACAATTGTTTAAATTTTTTATTACATTTCTAAATATTTTAATTTTCCGTATTGTATGCTTATAATTGCATACCTTGTACATATGTATATATATACTTCCATTTTAGTTCACGAGTTAGGGGACTCTTTTTGTATTGTGCCTATTAGCCATTGTAACCTTTCATTTAATTATGAATTACTAAATTATGTAATAACTTATGTTCTTTGTTTCAATATATATTGTTTCACCTTACACTTTATTGTTATAAGGAAAAAAAAAAACTTTTTTGCCAGTAAATATAGAGGGTGGGGCCGATTGCCTTCTGGGAAGCCATTTTGTTTTTCTAAGCCTTTTGGATGAGCATGGTCCTCTTGGACATTCTGCCAATAGACTTGATGTTTCTTCTAAGTGTGACGTTAAAAAACCGTCAATCAATAAATCAAATCAACCAACTTCACTAAATATAACAAAAAGTACACTTCCATGAAAAGAAAAATTATTCTTACAACGTGTGGTTCGAACCCACGACCCCAAGATTAAGAATTTCGTGCTCTACTGACTGAGTTCGCCGAAAACATTGCCAGGTCTGAAAGTTTTATGTATATTAAGTGAACATCTGGTTATTTTCAGATTTATATCAGTTATCTATGCAGATATATTGTGGGAGAAGAAAATAAGAGGATAGATAATATTTTATGCTAGAGAATTTTTTGCTTTTCTTATGCAGTTCTATACTGTATTAGTTATAGTTATTTAACTACAAATAGAATTGCTTTGCGATGATAAAAAAGGTTTCGGTATACGAAGAGTTTCTACGATATATATATATAAAGAAAATTTGAGTTTTCATTGTTTTGTTTCGAGAGATACATGAGGATTATTTTGTTTTTTCGATAAATAAGTTTTCAAATGAATAAATAAAAGTGTAAGCAAATGTAAAGCTGCAAGATATTTTGAAGTTATTAGGTGGACACGAGAGCAGAAAATTCGTTTGGACATCCAAACTAATTTAATTTTGGACTTTAAATGGACGAAATAAATTTTAGACTTTAATTAAATGTGTGTCATTATTATCAAACATAGACACAAGCCCTTTAAAAATAAGAGAAGAGATAAATCTTAGACTATACAAATCAAGGAAACAAAGTGATGTATAATTATAATAATTTTAGACACTCGGTAAAATATTTCTATATAAATTATTCTAATTAAGTCAATTTTTCAGTTAAGCCCCGTATTTTAAATTTATTTTAGCTAATAATTCTAATGTTGCAGAATTGACTATATTTTTTAGCAATGAATGGATAGATTATGGAATGACTCGAATGAGAAATGTAAGACCGCTCCTGCCTAGTGTTCAGAGTCACGAACCTCAATGGTCATGGTCATCGTTCTTTCTGTTGAAATCGTGGGTTTGAGTTTGGATGCCACTAAATACTCGCCTTGTAGCGTTGCTGATGCACGATAAATCTGGTAGAGGTCCGAAGCCTTCCTGTGATGTGATGTGGAAGTTTTGAGAGGGAACAGCCAACTCAGATGTTATCCTTGTTATTTGTCATGGTTCAAAATTACGAGATCCATCCTTAACAGTCGTCCTCATGTTACTTTCAAATGCGAGGTTAATAAACAATCAACCAAAAAATCGAATAACGTTCGAGGTAAAAGAGAACAAAGTGTAATATAAATAACAACAAAAAAAATGCATGATTTGTATTAATAATTGCTTTATTAATATCCCATTTTACTATCTTTTTATTCATTGAGTGAATTTTTATTTTAAAATGTATTAACAACTCATCAAAAAGTTGAACAATATCATTATTGGTAACAGTCCTCAAAATTTTGAAACGTAGCCAAAGGACGATGACACTTAAATTGGCAACATCCTGTCTCATCTTCTACACTAAATCACGTCATGTGAAGACAGATTTTGATAGATTTCAAACTACTTTCACCTCATATTACGGAATAGGATTTGAATATGTAAATCTTCGGTTTAAGAAACACTCCAACTTTAATGTTTCAGTCTGACTTCGTTATCTTATAGTAAACAACGTAATTATTATACGAAGTGTGTCTTTTAAATAACGAGACTGACGCTACTACAGAAGAAATACGCCTGCGCCAAAAGCCAGCGACCAACAACTGTTTAGCGTGAAGCTTTCTCTTTCGAATGCAGTGCTTCTCGTTCGTATTATAGCTATTTTTTTTCTTTACCCGGGAAAATGATAAGTGTAAAGATAGAGTAATAAGTTCTGAAATTTCACATAAAATGTGGAAAAATCTCTACTTAAACTTATAATTTATTAAAGGAAGTGTGTGGCAATAAATGTCAACAGCGTGAATGAGTTAAGCGTTTTCAAGATGACCGAGAAGACGTTGAAGATTCGCATGGAGTGTTGTAGAGACAGAAGAGGGATGTGTATTGAAGGCGGTAATAAGTAAATATATATGAAATCAAAATAAAAAGTTTTAGAGCGTCAGTCTAGAAATCTGATAGCCACACCTCGTACTACTCTTCTATTTATGCTTGAATCAAATTCTCCCGATTCTATTTGTACATGATTTTAATTTAACACGAATTAAAAAAAAAATAATTATCTTTTCACACGTCTTACTTTGATTTACCACGATGGACCCAAATTTTTGAAGAAAATTGCTTTAATTTTATTTTTATAACTGCGACGTTAGAGGCGAGGAATATAGTGAGCTTTCCATTTGTGAGAATAATTTGAATTTTAAAACCTCAATATAGAATTTTGTCTGCTTTCTCTGCATTTTTGAGTTAGGTATTCGAAGTGAATACACCTTGCGTCCCTTATTTTGAATTGACTGAAACATTTCAGTAGTGTCAAAACACAAGTCTCAGAAAAAACTATTTAACCTAATGGTTTCCCACCTCAATACGAGTTTTATTTTAGTTTTCTATTAACATCGCACTAGAAGCAACACGAGAGCTATTGGCGGCGGACCTCATACTTTTGGACCTCGGTCAAGTGACGACGTCGACACCTGAGCTGACACTCCTTCTCCTAACTTCCACACCACGCCAACGGGAGGATTTTGGACCCCGGAAGATTTAACGTGTCTCAGCCCCGGCTACACGGTGGTTCTTAAGCGGGCAAGGATCGAGCCGCGACTGAACAAAAGCCGCCGGCCACGAAATTGAAACCATGACCACTAGGCTATCGCGGCCACCCTCAACACGAAGAATGAAGAGAACGAGCGAGCTAACGATTAAATCTTTATTTTTTAACTTACTCATATCTATGTTTTGATCTTATGCTCAACGAGCGGTGTGACAGATATATTTATTATTTTTGCGCAAAAGTCAATAAATGGTAAATTGTAATTTTAAAACTTTTTTATTAATTATGACGGAAATATTCTCTTTTTCCCCCTCAAATGATAATTTACTTTGTGTATAATATTGTGCTTACCAGTAAGTCTTTATGAAATAAAATGTTTCAGATCCTAACAGGAAAGCTTATGGCTTATTGTATTATTTTTGATGATTTCTTAAGATTGGAACCAATCTTCTATTTTTCCATAGATGCAATATATTTTTACACGTATTCTTTACGAACTTATCTATAGTGTAAAAACAGAATTAAGTGTAATTTATTTGTCGGTATAAATTATATTCCATTCATTTCGTTGTCTATAAAACTACAAATTAAAACTAAAAATTTCCTATTATTTTATGTTTCTTAAAGGCACTGTATGATTAATGCATATATGAGATGTAACTATACAAGTTTATATGAATATTTGGGCGTTTGTCAAATCTGAAAATGTGTTCTGAGACTGGATCCTTCTCTTTGATACTAGGCGAAATTAACACAAATGTCTATAAAGGAGGTAGGGTTGATAGAGTTACGGCTTGATAACTGGTTCGGGTCATTTATAGTGATTGCAAATTTACCAACTTTTTCTATTACCAGTAATACGGTAAAATTTTTGAACATTGCCGTTATACTGGTAAAAAACTGAGAATTCTTTAAACCTTGAATATAAAAATATAATAATGATAAGCACTTTGTGATTTTTGCGCCATCAATGACAAAAGTAAAAAAAAATTAATTGTATTTTTAATATAAATAAAATTTGATAATTTTATAAAAAAAAATGTAAATAAGACTTACACATGAATAATATCCTCAATGAAATCAATCGTAAAAGACATAAATATACATTATCAGTTTGTGAACAAGCAAAAAATATAGCTGATTATTACTTTGATCTTTTGATTGTGATCTAATTTTTATGAAAAATAATACCTATGCGTAGAAAAAGTTCTTCGAGATTCAACACTCGTTGGTTTAATAATTATTGAAGAATCCTATACACTGTTTCAATATATTCCCTCTTTATAATTTCCTGATAGAAATGTCTCAATTATTTCTAACAATGATTGATCGGTTGATTTTTGAGGCAACAAAGGCTACAATTCCTTTTTTTAAGGCTTGAATTAATACTTATGTATGACAGAAGTGCATTATCATGTTCATTACTGCATCTGCAACGATTATAGTTAAGCACATAACTTATTGTATGATCAAAAACAATATAGACTTACCAGTAAGAATATGAGACTAAATTTTTTTTCCAAATATACCGGTAAACTGGTTACCTGCATTGCAATCCTTAGTCGTTTGCTTATAAACGGTTTGTGGGGATGATGCCTATTAAATCTGTCAGGGCCTTAAGTTTTCATTTTGGTGAGGTATGAAGGAGGAGAGAGAGGTATAAACTCAGGTATCCTCCTCGTCAATTTTGACCTTGGTTCAAAATTATAAAGTGCATAAGCAATATTTTATGTGATTTTAATAAAAGGCACAACCTCGTGTTGTTTCTAATAAAAATTTAATAAAAACCAGTCAACCGTACTCAAGCGGCATGACCCGTGTGGTGAGTGAGTGAATGTAAAGTTTATTGGCGCAAGAGCCAGATATGGCTATGCTGCGCCAAACAAGATTAAACTGTGGTCTAGACGTGAAGGTGAAAAAAAAAGACAAAGAGTGGTTGACAAGAAGGAGGGTCGAAAATAGAGAAGGATCGCTAAGGTATCCCGGGAGTGCATCACCCGTGTTTACCAAAGACAGTAAACCCCATGGGAAAGAAAGATCACTAGGGTACCTCGGGTTCGTGAAGCCCATACTTACCTGAAGAAGGCAAGTCCCTGAGGTCCCCTGATATAATCCCCAGGGGCACCCGGCCCCGGGGGATTATATCAGGGAACCTCAGGGACTTGCCTTCTTTTGGTAAGTACGTGCATCATGACTCCGAGGCACCCTACTGATCTTTATCTTTCCCATGGGGCTTACTGTCTTTGGTAAACACGGGTGTCGCCCCCCCGGGTTTCCCTAGCGATCCTTCTCCATTTTCGACCCTCCTTCTTATCAACTTATTTTTGTCTTTTTTTCAATTTTTTCATGTCTAGACCACAGTTAAATCTTGTTTGGCGCAGCATAGCCACATCTGGCTCTTGCACCAATAACCTTTACATTCACTCACTCACTCACTCAAGCGACATCGAATCTTAAACACGCTCAATAATTTGATTATCAAAAA